GATGACACACAAATATACTTGCCCGTCAGATCCACAGACCCTGGAATGCTGAGTTCACTTAACAACTGCCTTTGTGAAATTAAAAAATGGATGTCAAAGAATTTCCTCCAGCTGAACTCAGACAAAACAGAAATCCTGGTCACTGGGTCCCAGCAGATGGCAAATCAAATACTGCAATCTGCTGGTTCCCTAGTAAATCACATTAAGCCTGTTGCAAAGAACCTTGGTGTTTGGTTTGATAGTAATTTAAATTTCGAGCAGCACACCACAAAGCTTGTTCAATCATGTTTTTATCAACTTAGAAATGTAGCACAAATTCGATCTATGTTAACTTTTAAGGACACCGAGACCATTTTACACGCCTTCATCTCATCACGCCTGGATTATTGCAACAGCCTTTTCACCTGTTTAACCCAAAAATCTATTGATCGACTCCAGACTGTCCAGAACTCAGCTGCCAGGCTTTTAACCAGAACAAAGAAATATGACCACATTACTCCTATTTTAGCTTCATTACACTGGCTCCCAGTATGTTTTAGAATTGACTTTAAAATTCTATTGATCACTTTTAAAGCTCTTCATGGCCTCTTGCCTTGTTATATTTCTGACCTTTTAGTCCCATACACACCAGCACGCACCTTGAGATCCTCGGGCAGAGGTCTGTTGTCTGTTCCAGAGTCTCGACTGAAAACTAAAGGGGACAGAACGTTTGCTGTCAGGGCCACGAGGCTCTGGAACAGCCTGCCCAAGGAAATCAGGTCGGCTGAGTCAGTGAACTCTTTTAAGTCCCTTCTTAAAACATACTTTTATAGGAGAGCCTTTCCCGATCTTATTTGACTTTATTTTATCCCTTTTATTTTATTGTATTTTACTAATTTTATATTTATCTTAAACGCGTATTTTAGTCTTTTCAATGTTCTCATGCTTTTATCTTGTATTGTTTTTGTATTATTGTCTCTTGGGTATTATTGTCTTTACACTTGTTAAAGCACTTTGTAACTTGTTTTTGAAAAGTGTTCCGGCTTCTAGTTTTATTTTTATTTTTTTCCAGATTCATTTTTTTTAACACAACTGTGGAAAAACAGCTGTTCAGATTTCATGGTGACAGCATTGTCATCATTCCACAGCAAGACTGCAGAACTCTAATGAGTTGAATATTATTTGTCTTATTCCGTGTCTCATATTTCTGTGAGCTGGAGTGAGCTAGAAACAGTCAACTTGCACCACTAACTGGAAATGACGCGCAACTGCATCCACATAAAGATTATTGTTATTATTATAACCACCGATCACTGCTCTCCCCGTAGAAGGTCACTGACCCTCTGTCTTGCTGCTACAGTGCTATTTTGAACTGTTATGAGTCAAATGCATAAGTATTGTATACTACAAAGCCTTACAGGCCTGGTACCGGGTTAGGGTTAGCTCTCCCCGTGGCTCGGGCCCTGTGGTCGCTGAGGTGGCGCGGCGGTTTCGGTCATGGGGCTCCCAGCACGACATCTCCGAGGGCATCGGGACTACTGAGGCTTTTTCCTGTTCCTCGTCTGCTGGCTCCGACTCCTCTCTTCCCCGTTCGGGAGCCCGCTTAAGTCGGCTTCTCCCACTCGAGGTATGAGTCCGGAGAGGCTCGCACGGTCTGATTCTGACGGTCTGGGTCTGATTCTGACGGTCTGGGTCCAGGACGGCGGCAGCTGAAGAGAGACAAGCTCAGCGTCTAGCTCCTACCGCCGGAGCCAGAAGCAAAGCGTCGCTTCCCCTGGTCCCCCTCAACAAACCTGGGACGCAAGGTGGCGCTCTCGCCCACAGCCCCCCAAGAAGATGGATCTGAGGACCATCGTTCAGCCCCGAGGGTCTGGTTCCCTTGGCGGATTTCGCAGAAGCATTGCGAACATTTCCCCGTGGGTCCTGCGCACCATAGTGGATGGCCAGGAAGAGAACAGCCAGGTGTTGGGACAAGAAGTTCGCTCTCTGCTGGAGAAAGGGGCCATAGAACTTTTTTCCCTGCCAGTAGGGGAGTCCGGGTTCTACAGCCGGCCTTCATAGTTCCCAAGAAGGACGGAGGGATGCGTCCAATTTTAGATCTGCGGTCCCTGAACCTATCTCTGAGGAGATTCAGGTTCAAGATGCTCACCATCCCCGCCATCGTCAGTCACATCCAATCTGAGGATTGGTTTGTCACGATAGATCTGCGAGACACATATTTCCACATCTCTATCTGTCCCTCTCACAGGAAATTCCTGAGGTTCACCTTCGGGGGCCAGTATTAGGTTCTTCCGTTCTGCCTAGCACTCTCCCCCGCACGTTCACCAAGTGTTTGGATGTAGCTCTGGCCCCGATGAGGCTCCAGGGCATCCGCATATTGAACTACGTCGACGACTGGCTCATTCTGGCCCAGTCTCGAGAGTTAGCGGTTCGTCATCAAGATGTCGTCCTCGCTCACCTTCAGCGTTTGGGGCTGCGGCTCAACGCGAAGAAGAGCATGCTGACGCCTGCCCAACGGACTACGTTCCTAGGGGTGGTGTGGGACTCAGTGACTATGCAGGCCCACCTGTCTCCTGCACGCGTCGAGTCCATTTTGTCCACAGTGACCAGAGTGCAACGAGGCCGCACCATCACTGTGAAACACTTTCAGAGGGTGTTGGGTCCCATGGCAGCAGCGTCCAGTATAATCCCTTCTGGCCTGCTGCACATGAGAGCCCTGCAGTGGTGGTTTAAATCCAAGGGATTCTCCCCGAGGGGAAATCCGCTCCGTCTGATACAGGTTACGAGCAGGTGCCTTCGTTCCCTGTCAGTATGGAGGAAACCTTGGTTCCTGTCCCAGGGTCCTGTGTTGGGAGCGCCATGTTGCCGGATAATTATTTCGACAGACGCCTCCCTCACGGGGTGGGGCGCGGTCATGAATACCCGTTAGATTACCCGTCACATTAAACATTTATGGCAATAAAGCACACTGAAATTAACTGAACTGATTTAATTTGAGTTTTTCGCTCTGCAGAAAAAAAATTTCCTGCAGTCCTCTGTGAATTATTTTAATAAATTATATTTCATTATATTATACTATAAATGTGCTATTTCTGTGTATTTCTGCTCAGCTGGGGCTGTGGTATTTACCCACAACAGTATCCAAATTCTAATACATAATCAGACTGAGAATGTTGTTGCTGCAAACACACTTGAAATTACTTAAAGTTTAAAGATTTTTTGACAACTGACGGATAAAACAGAACCCCAGCCCTTAACCCTGTAACGTCAAGCGTATCATGATACATGAGTTTTAGAGACCTCTACATCAGGGGTATTCAATTAGATTTCAAAGAGGTCTAGTTAGAGAAAATTTCCTGAAGCAAAGGTCCGGAACATCAAAACGACGAACTTGCGTTATCATTCAGTACTATAACCTATAGTTGTATCAACACATGTTTTTAGTCAACAACGGACTGTCAAATCAAATAATATTTCAGTCAGTTTTCACATCAAACTGGAGGGATAATAAATAATAACTATTCAAATAATAAATTCTAAATTTAAGTAAACTAAAGTGCCTAATTTTTAGAAAAAATGTAATAAAAAGTGTAGCTTGAAGTGATGAAGTGTAGTCTTAACCAATTTTATAATAAACACTCAACACATCATACCAAATGAACAGCTGTAATGCCTCCTCTTCTCTTTCATTTCCTCTTACAGGGCTACCACTTTCCTACTTTCTGTTGTTCAGTGAGAAACGTGAGCTCCAGCTAGCATATTGGAGATCTGTGAGATATTCTGGTTTTGAACTGCCCGTGGGAGGAATGTACATGTAAAAATCTGTACATTCTTGATTAAAAGTCATGTGAAATCTCTTTTATCTTTCGTCTCCTCAATTCGGGTGTGTTTCCAAAACGTCTCTGGTGGATCTCGCGGACTAGACTCGCAAGCCTCAGTATGCACAGATTTGATTGGCTGAGCAGCGTCACATGAGACGATTGGAGCACATGCGATTGGTCTGTGAGTTTCCTGGTCCTCTAAACCAGTACAGTAAATGCTAGAAAAGCTGTGCAGGTTAAAATAGAAACGCTCCATCACGAGGTAAGTCTCAATAATAAATGGGCTGTAGGTCGGTGGTCCGGAGAGGACGGCGGCCTCGTCCGGATCCGGACCGCGGTCCGCCTATTAGTGACCTCTGCTCTACATCATCAGTGTGATCATTTACCCCCCAAAAACCTGATGTATACAATCAGATACATGCAATGCGCGGATGATCCACCAGAGGGCCGTAATTCGTCTAACATAGGTCCTTCAATGGAGACAGCCAAAATGGAGGTTGTCAATCATTGACCTTCAGCTGGTTTTGAAGGAGTTAAGATGAGAAAAACAGTGAAATTGTTTTGGATACTTCAATATAAATATTTAATGGATTCAAGCAATGTATAATTAATATTTCATAATTTATTTTATAGTAAAATCGAGTTGAAAATGTGTGTATCAAATTAGATACAGCTAAAATTTGGTTATTTATGTATACATCTGTAAATCATAGATTTGTTGCATATGCTTCATTATGCATTATATTAAGCTACATGCACTCTTTTAATTATTTAAGGAAACTAATTGAAGGCATTATTTGGTATATTTAGAGCTAAAATTGAGACATTTTGTAGGCTATATTGTATTTTCCTGCTGTATCAAGACACTAAATGTCTAATTGGATGTTTCCAAGACTCACTTCATAATAATTGTCTTTTGGTTCAGAGGAGAAACGCACAGTGAATTGTGTTTGGTTGGTATTTTTTTAAATGGCAAAAAAGTACAGCATTGAAGATATCTTGATTATAGATGGCAATTCAAGTGACATGGAGCAGTAAAGGAAGACTATTCAAATTATTATTATTTTTTTTTATTTGGCATTAGTTAACCACTCCATATTCAAAAATTAGAATTCTCTGGCAATCGTTTCATGGTTCTGGCTTTACAGGGATAAAGTGAGTTTTAGCAGAATTTTCTCTTACATACACTTTAAACAAGAGTCTGTTTCTCAGTGGCGTGGGAACACTTTGTTCTTATAATTAATCAAAATCAGCCATTTGTTGACACTGGCAGAACATTGGCATGTCCACAAGGCATGAGCGGTGAGTTTAAGAGTGAGAGGAAGAGCCATCTGACAATCAGACAGAGGAGCATCAAGAGAGCTGAACACATCTGTGGTGAGTTTCTTATTATGCCAGAACGGGGCAACAATCTGAGCTCTCTAGTGTAGATTACTGAACTGAAGATGGCAGATAATTATATAGTACATAGTTATGGATATTATATTCCATTTCTGTCAGTAAATCCTCCGAAATATTACACACTGAACCTTTAAAAACACATTGGACTCTTAATACAGACATAGAGTTGTTTGGACCAAATACACTGACTAGACGTTGACGGACAAAAGTTTTATATTTCTATATTGGTGGAGACATATCTGACGCCCTTGCACTTCTAACTCTCACATTTCCAGGTCATATTCTAGCTGTGGAAAACTGAGTTACTGAAGCTTGAGACATGCGTCCAGCTGTGCTAAATGCGATCCTCCTGTTGGTGTGCGCCATGGCCACTGTCACAGAAGGACGTAATCATAAGTACTATAACATCACCAATGCATCATTGAGCTGAAGCCCAAAAATGTGTTTATTCAAACACGTATATTCCTACAGATCATTCAATTGAGGGAGAATGTGAAAGTTATTCAGATAAGCCATGTGGAGAAGGATGAAGCCACATTGATGAGAGTCGATGTGCTAAATACAACGGAAGCGAAAAGAATTTCCAAGAGGTACAGGTGAAGCAAACACACACACAGGCATCAGAAGAGCGATAATAAATCCATCATCATATATAATACGTTTTGATCAGGTGCTGGTGAACACTAACACTTGCTCACATTTGTTGATTTTAGGAACACTGCAGAACCTTAAATTCTGACCTGGTGTTAATGGCGCATTATAAAAAACATCAACTGACTAATTTCATTGCAGACTTGGAGCAGAGAGGGGGACATGGACATAAGTGTGGACGTGATATGAAAACTGTCTCTGTTACTCTGCAGTTCTGTGGTCGTGGGTCACTCTTTCACCAAACTAAAACCAGCTTAATAGCCTTGTTAAATCATCATAAAGAAAATGTAATTCAGACTTGACAGAAACAAGTAAGTAAACTCAACAAGACCGTTGCAAAATCACCAACTATCATTCAGAGTTAAATGTGAAAATATTCTGTCTCTTCATTCTTCCACTGTAAGTCTAGATGCCACTGAATGTGATGTATTCTGATTTCTTTTCTCCAGATGAGGGAAACCTGAATGGTACATACTGCTCAGAGAAGAAGAACTACGTGTGCGCCAAGAAGATGTGATCATCACCAGCTGATGTTTGCGTTCACATTTTCAAACAACAACTAATCTGTGCTGCAGTTGGACAAGTCTGTTTCATGGTAACCACTATGAACACAAGCTTTTTACTGCAAGTTACTGCAATAAACGCTTCGGCGTTTATGTTACCGCTTCTAGTTATATTTTTATTTTTTTCCAGATTCATTTTTTTTAACACAACTGTGGAAAAACAGAGGTTCAGATTTCATGGTGACAGCATTGTCATCATTCCACAGCAAGACTGCAGAACTCTAATGAGTTTAATATTATTTGTCTTATTCCGTGTCTCATATTTCTGTGAGCTGGAGTGAGCTAGAAACACTCAACTTGCGCCACTAACTGGAAATGATGCGCAACTGCATGCACATAAATATGTGCCTGCCAAATGATGGTGCTGTAATTAAGCTCCAAAAATGCTATTTTGTAAAGTCTCTCACACTGTAAGTCCAATTGACTTGAGCACAAATCCAGTAGAAGTCAAATGTGCTCTACTACAAACCTCTTGGACCATAAAATCTGTGGACTATGATATAATTTTTGGTAATTCACAAAATGAGAAAAAACAGTTAGAACTTATTGAATTTAGACTCTAACACGAAAATTGGGATACACATTTCCATTACAATTAGGCAAGATTGGCCAAAAAATATTGCCACCATCAACAAAAATAGTAATAGTAATAGTAATAATACAAAGGGCGTGGCTTAGCAAGAAATTGGCCTCAACTCATTGATTTGTCCAGTCATAATAACTCTTTAGAGTGTGATTCGTATCACTCAGAATTTCACTAACTCTGACTATTTTTGGCTTTGTGAAGCCTGAAACATTTCTGCCTGTGGCTTTAATTTTGGCCTGTCGAGCTGCTTCCTTATATGCAGTGAGAAGAGTTTCCACTCTGTAGCCCTGGGGGAAATGGTCCCTCATTGACATAAACACACAGACTGTAGTTCATTTTGACTCAATGCCTCATACACCATCCTGCTACCCCAAATACTCAAAGAAGCAGCAATATGTGAATTAATCCTCAGCTTGTCCACAACAAATGCTACTTTCTCCAGTTTGTGTAAAGTTTGCCAAAAACTATAGTGTAAATTACACCAGCCTTAATTACTCCTTTTCCACAGTCTATTGGAAAATCACATCCATCTGTACCTGTATGCATTTGGAGTAATCAGGATTGTCTGCTTTATTTTACCTTGACAGTCCCTTGACAAAGTTCTCCGTGCTGTTGATACCAGCTGTATTACCAAAGTGTTTATTCAGCATTCAGCACATGTAATCTCACCTCATATCTTAGACTGCAGAACAACGTCACTAAGGTCTCCCTTCTTCAGTGCTCATCTCTGCAGTCTTTTCACCTGTACAATGTCGACACCTGGCCACATAGAGGGAAATCAAAGTCCTGAATAAAAAATATGAAGCTCTGATTTTACTGTTTTCACGATGGGCACATTTGCTGCTGACATTTGTGGTGCCTAAACCTAAGCACACTGCATGTTAGCCACATGTTTACTATTGTTAGTAGGAATGAACCCAAATCTGAAATATGGGAAAACACAAATAATGCGATGGAAACTAATATATTTTCTACCCGAAGTTACTCGTTATTTGGGGGGAAAAGTCAGCTCAGGAATGTTAAATCAGCAGCTTCAGCAGAGGAGAAGGTGCGTATTCGGCTGCAGGAGAGCAGATTTCCACAGAGCTTCACTGGCTGAATGTAGCTACAGTAGCTACAAAAATGCAAAAATAAGCGCCAAAATTATGGATGAAGTCAGTAAGGGTATTTTTAGCATTCTTGTACCCCCTTAAAAAATGGTTGCATCTACCTTAATTGGTCACTGATTTAAAGGGATTGTAATCCAATACACAGTTATTTCTGTTTTGTGTGTGCTGTAAAAACATTTTTTAAAATTTTCCTACATAGCCCTAGCTTTGTAAATGAAAAACAAAGAAAGTGGTGGTAATAGGCTACCCCAGAGCTATCTGCCAGGTGGGGATGAAAGAAACAGAGAATTTTAGTCCTGAGGGTTATAGCTCAAACTCCCTCTGGAGTGGACGATTCTAGCAGTCCAATGTAGCATTAGCCATCCTAAGGACCTGCCTGTTATAAAGGTCTGAAAGCTTGGTCTGACTCCTTGCTGAGATCTTGCTGGCCTGGTCTGTTCTCATTGGACAGATTTAGGTTTCTGAACCACACACAGCAATACTGAAGGTTAAAACGGATTAAATGAGTCATATATAGATCGTATTTATTTTTAGTGGAAAACAAAAATTTTGATGTATAAAACCTTTTTGGACTTGGGTCCTGCATGTAAAAAACATTGAAATGTTAAATGTTTATGGGTTACCCACTGTATCAATCATCAACATTATAATAGCAGTGATAACAACTGATAAATAAATAATTGAGTGGTGTACGCTTCTTCAAATAACCTGCCTGAAAACTCCAGATTCCAAATAAACTTTAGTTTTTTTCTTCCATGAGTTTAGCAGTTTTGCAGTGGGTTTAGTTTGGGCTATAGCAGGGTCTGGCAGACCTGTTAGGATGACCCGGCGATGGCCCATTATGTGCAAACACAGCCCCCCAATCCAGCATGGGTATCTGCCACCCCGTTTCAGTGCCGCTCGTTCTGCAGTTTAATCAACTTGTGTACTTACTGCACTGCTGATTTTTCAGTATCAGCAGGGGCACCTAACAGAGCACATGGAAGCTTTTTGGGCGTAACTTACTGTCACATCCTGAGACCAAAGGCACACTGTTTTAAAGTGACCTCAGAAATTAAGACTCAACTTGACTAGTAACCAGTTATGGTAGTCTTTGTTCATGATGATCAGTTTGCCTTCGCCAAATTCTGTAAAGCCAAGACAGTATTCAATACAGACAGCAGATGGCGCTCATATGACAGGTCAGCTAAAGTTCTTGAATCATTTCACAATAAAGTCAGAATCTCTTGAAGAAGGTGTGAAGACAAACCTCACAATAAAAGTCTGGGGAGGTTTGGTTTAAACTGTACAGTTACAGAACCCGCAGCTTATTTTCTGGTTTAAATCTGTCTGTTTGAAAGGAAATAAATGCCTTTAAATACAGTAAATAGAAAATGATTCCCAAATATACACAAAAATGTATTGAAATATACATTTGCATATTTACTGTGAAACAAGTAAATGTAAGTAAAAATATCAATTCAAATATGTTTAACTTTCTGGTGAAATAGCATTTCTTTCTTCCACTTCCCCTTCCTCCAGGTAGTTCTGCCTTTCCCCCCCCTTTTTGTAGTCATTGATGTGTTCATTATTTCCCTCTCCTGAAGCTTTCTCTTTAGTCACTACCAAGGTTGTAGCGGCGGGGTCAATGCACAACAACTCCAATGTGATTGGCCAGCAGGAGGTTCATGTCTGCAAGATAAATCTGCAGAATATCACACATGAAGACACTTTTGTCAGCTGATGTTGATCATGTCAGGAGACACAGAAACTACTGTCAGTCCTTTTAGAAAAAAGCTGTTTTCCATTTTTTTCAGGACTTCATTAAACATTTTGTGCATCTGCACTCATTTCTTCTTGATCAAAAAATGGTTCACCTTTCTGTCTGTGTGAAGCTGCTGGTGTGTCTGCGGTTGCAGGAGGGCAGAGCTTGTTTTAATCTATGCTGAAGTCAATCTTAGCATGAAATGTGTTAGCATTTGTACTGTCAATGGTTAAAATAAATGACTGATTAGAAATTGACACAGTACCATTATTTGCATCTAAATCAGCCAACAGCCAATTCAAAGTGTAAAACGACCAGAATACCAAATTTATAAAAGCTGTTTAAGCGGTCACTTCGATAAATATTGTATATATTGTAGGCTACTACAAGTGAGTTTTTCTGATGAGAACGCGTTGGCAGGACAGGTACAAAAATAAATAAATAAATAAAAATAAAATAACGTGCCGTTTCAAAATGGCGGTTTCGAAACGCAAGCATTTTATTTTGAAAGTCTAACTGGACATTGCATATTTGTTGTTGCTAAGCTTTGCTACCTTGACTGGACAGCCTTCGTCTAAACGTCTAAAAGCAACAAGGGCCTTGACCAAGCCTCAATTAGTGATGGCAAGTTCGACTCTTTAATTGACAAAGTATAATGCACAAATTCATCTCTTGATCACTCTCTATCATCATTATATCAACCCCCCTGGGCCCACAACCAAATTCAAACCATGTAAAAACCACAGAAATATGTTGTCAATATGTAATCACCACTACTCCGGCTAAATCCGTATACAACCAGACCAGCCACATAAAGGTTTATGTATATAATTACTATCATTATCTCTAATGTGCTCATTCATACAGTAGCCTAACATCTGTGGTGTACGGAAAAAGGTGCGACAGAAGCATGCTCTATAAATAGTGTGAAGGAATGCATTCTTGTTGACTGGATAGCTACCGTGTGTGTGTGAGAAATAGGAGAAGCCTTGTGTGTGTGTGTGTGTGTGTGTGTGTGTGTGGGGGGGGGGGGGGGGGGGGGGAGCTGCCTGGACACCACACATCCCTATCCATGAGTAAAATATTAATATCAGATTTGTGTATATAGAAGTAATAAGCTTGATACACTATATGAATAAACACACTCTTATTAAAATTCAACCAATTTAATAATAATCTGGATCAAGCCACCAAGTTCTTAAAGAACTCCAGCACAGAGAGAGGAACAAAGAAATATTAACACATTATATAAATGCAGCAGTTTGGCAGGTCTGGACGCAGAATGGGCCACATCAGGTCCGGATTCTGCAGACAGAGAAACACACATGAGCACATCGCTCTCAAACACTGCAGGTTGTTCACCAGTCACGAGCTGTGAAACAACAGCAGGGCTCTGTAGGTAAATAAAAAAGGAAAAGTTATGTTGCGTTCTCTGGCAGACCTGGATCAGCTGTCAGCTGTTTACAGGGCTAACTGTAACGTTGCTACGTTGCTGTGTTTTAATGACCGGTCTGTTTGTTTTGGAGAGGAGACGACCTCTGAGGTAATTCAGCTCCCGGTAGATCCCTGTCAGTACTCTGAAGTGGAGAAGACTCAGAACAACTCTCATCAGCTGTAAACACTAGCAGGACTAAAGTTAGGTGCGGCTGTGTTAAAACT